TAGTCACATGACCTAATCAAAATGGCCGACTTGGAGGGGGGGGGGGGGGGTCACCTCGGCCGTGGGCCCAGCTGGGCTGCAGGCTGGCGGCGGGGACGCAGTAGCCCGTCTGCGGTTCCCTGGAGAGCCGGGACAGGCAGGCGGTCCAGTCCTCCACGCCCCGCACCGGGCAGTCCTCCATCGCCGTGACGATGTCCCCCACGGCCAGCCCCCGGGGGCCGTCGGCCGCCGAGCCCTGGCCAATCACAGACGAGCACAGAGTGACCGACCCAGAGGATCCTGGTTCTGAGGCTCCATCTTAACTCATTGACTGGCAGCCATTTTCAGAACAGAGAGTCCCATACTGCCAGAGTTTTTTGAGCATTTTGACTGATTTTTCAAGAGCCACAGAATAGTTTGTGCTATGATTATGTAAACGCCGAACACACCAAAAGAAAGAGTAGACTCTCTTCTTTCATCAGGAAAAAAAAATCTGTTTCTACCTTATTCCGTTCTTCCTCAACGCCCGCCATTGGCTTTTTTTGTTTTCTTCATTACGGTAAGAGTAACCCCCACTTTTGGCCAGTCCCTTACAAGTTTCTCACCAACTCCAAACTTTCTTTCTGCTTTTCTATCACCCTTTTCAGCTGCATATTTACATTTTTGTTAAGCCCTTCTCAGTTGTTTTTATAAGTTACCACCAATGTTGAAATGATGAGCACAGGCCTAGAGCGCCCTGTTGTGGTTTAATGTGAGAATAACACGTGAAATGATATAATAATGTGTTAATAATTTCACACTTAAGTCGCACCCCTGGCCAAACTATGAAAAAAACTGACTTATAGTTTGGAAAATAGGGTAATACTGACCGGCACCACCTCGGTGACCAGCGCCCCGGCGCCGGTGGAGTAGAGGGGCAGCAGGAGGATGGGCAGCAGGAAGAGGAATGCCAGCGCCAGCAGGCACAGGACGAAGTTGTGCCAGACCCCTGCGGAGAGCAGACAGAAGACGTTGGTTTTAGGCCCTCTGCTCCTTCAGGGGAAACCGCAGCTGTACAAATGTAGTCATAACAAACTCGACCCGATCCGATATCTGGATCGGATCGGCCGGCAGGAGAAAAAGCAGATCCAGACTCCAGCTCCAGTTTTTTTTTTTTAAATCTCATCCCACACGAGCATTAGCATCTCCTATCCCACACGTCTGTGTTAGGGATGTCCCAATCCAGATGTTTGCCTTTCCAATCTGATGCCGGCCTATCAGAGCATGTATTAAAGTTTAAAGTTATTTAGCTACTTACTTATGATAACTTAATGGTTAAGACACAGACTAGGCTTGTCCTGATCCGATATCGGGATCAGATCGGCCGCTGGTATTTACAAAAATTGCGTATCGGCCGGCAGGAGAAAACGCAGATTCAGACTCCAGATCCAGTTTTTTTTTTTAAGTCCGATCCCACACGAGCATTAGCATTAGCATCTCCTAACCCACAGGTCTGTGTTAGGGATGTCCCGATCCGGCTTTTTGCCCTTCCGATCCGATCCCACCCTGTCAGAGTATGTGTTAAAGTCTAAAGTCATTTATCTACTTACTTAGTTGTCAGACTCATGTTGAACAGGGATTTACTCTGATAACAACTTAATGTTTAGGACACAGACCTGTGGATTAGGAGATGCTAATGCTAATGCTCGTGGGGGACTTGATCTGAAGTCTGGATCGGCATTTTTTCCTATGTCCTAACCATTAAGTTGTTATCACCAAGAAAAATAGGAAAAATATTGGATTTTTTTTAGTCTGAAGTCTTTCTTTGGCCCCTCAACAACATATGAAGAAAAAAAAAAACTGAAATTATTTTGATTAAATTAGCGTGCAATAACTCAAAAATATATTTTGGTGTAGTCTTCTACTGGCTGTTATCAGAGTAAATCCTTGTTCAACATGAGTCTGACAACTAAGTAAGTAGATAAATAACTTTAAACTTTAACACATGCTCTGATAGGCCAGGATCAGATCGAAAGTGCAAAAAGCTGGATCGTGACATCCCTAGGTCATAGTACTGGTTATTTCTGTTGAGACGTCTGCACTTAAAGGGGCTGTTTCAGTCTCTGTGGGCGGATGTAAACAGTCAGAACTGGGAGCCTGAGGCTTTATCTCCGGCCTGAAGCCTGCAGACAGCAGAAGTTCATCCTTCCTGCTCTTCTTCTGGCTTCGGGACGCCGTGTCAGCAGAGCGAGCGCCGCCGGCTAAAAATAACCCAATAACCCTCCATACCGCCTTAATTATGCACGAGGACTCGGCATGCTAGCATCCTCCTCGCTCTGGTTTGGGTCATGTGACCCGGCTGGACGTTTCAGGACTCGCGTCTGGAGACACTTCAGTTATTTTCCTGTCAGATAAGCCTTGGAGGGGGGGGGGGCAGAGACCCAGAGAAGCTCTTTGCTGCCCCCTGCAGGAAGGCGGGGCACACACACACAAAAACACACACACACACACACACACACTCGTACACCATAACTGGCAGAAGCTTCACTTTTAAGAACAATCTGACAAAGAAAAAAACTTCTAACTCATATTGAATAAGCTCCTTTTTTTACCCCCACTGCAGAGATTGCAGCCCCCCACCCCCCCAACACACACACACACACACACACACACACACAC